CGTGCACGGCCCAGTTGGGGGGGGGGGGCCCAGGGACGTGATGACAGAAGACGAGGCGCCATGAAATCTGAGGAAACATCATGGCCCACGCCATGATATCCACACACCCCTAGCCATCACCCCCGTCCTTGCGGCCCCCGACCGATGGGCAACCTGATGCGGCGTCGCACGCCGGCCGGGTCAGCGGGCCGTGGAGGCTGGGGGCCCTCACACCGCTTTTTTTTTCAGCGCAGAGGCAAGGCAGTCTGGCCGATGGGGCAGCGTCGGGCCGGCCCTCCGACGAAGCGCCACGCAACGGTGAAGGCAAACGAACTCCGCGATGGCACAACCCACCGATCGGTGCCCCGGACAGTTGGCCCCAGGTGTCGAATTTGAAGCCAGCGGAGACAAGAATTTCAATGTTACGATTGCCCAACTGACAGTAGACCCAAAGTGTTAATTCGGGCATGTCCTCCTACAGGCGGATTCTCGGCGGAAAAATAGCACGGGAAAATGAAACATCGTCCCCAGACTATTGTTTTACTATGTTCGGATATTGCTCCTGTAGAGGGACAGGCCCGGCTGAAAACAAGTGATCAAAGGGTTCATGAGCAGTGGCAGCGGGGTCAGTGCACCTCTGAGGAGCCCAGAGCTGCGAAGACGTCTCGGGCGACACGGGCCGGGCCAAATCGAATCGGAATCGGAGGCAATCGAAATCGAATCGAATCGGAGAAATCGAAACGAGCCATGCGGACCAGGGCGTCCCCAGCCACACAGTTCAGAGGGTGTCTCGGGCGAAACTGGCTAGGCCTCTCGCGTGGCATCTCCTGTCACAAATTGCGAGGGTGTCTGAAACGAGGAGAAGGGTTGGACCTTTCAGGTCAGGGCATCTATGAGCCGAGAGTGGTCGGGATGTCTCAAGCGAAGAAGGCTGGCCACATCTCGCGACCCGTCGTCTCGCACCCTCGAAGGGGGTATCGAGGCCGGTTCTTCTAGCTGAGTCCAGCGGTGGCGGCGAAATCCTCCAGGACCGCCACCAAACATCCAAGACAAAGACGCCGACATCGTCGCAACCCTCACAGGGGGCTCATCCTAGCAAATTGTTCGAGCTGCACCCAATGGTGGCGACGAGAACCACCAAACAGGCCCCCAAAACAACCGAAACGAAGACGCCCACTCCGTCGTCTTCCTCCCCTTCAGGGTCTCTCATCTCAGGTCTACTAACCAGGCAATCTTCGGCCAAGATGGCCTGGGCGGACCCAAGACTGGCTCCTGAGAAGCCCAGGAACGGATTTGTCACAATAGTCCTTTTCCGGAAACAAAAAACATTGAAAACACCGGCGGATGTTGCGCAAGCATGTTGAATGATCATGTTGAACCGAGGCGAAACAGATTAAAATACGCTGCAAGGCGGTCTCACTCAGAAGACCTCCGACAGGAAATCCTGTGGCACATGAGTGCGTCACATAGACGTTTAAATGCTGAACATGCCTACCCGTGGCGGCAACGACGGTTTTCAACTCTACCTTACCGAAAGCAAACCATTGTGAAGTCTGAGCACCACTATGGGATAGTCCACCATCTAGTTTTGACATTGAGAAAGACCATTTGACGTTCGATGCGTGAAAATCCACCACCGCGATTGCGAGATAGGTCCGCGCTAGAATGCTTGTGGGTTGCCTCGTGGCTCAGGCTTTTCGACGTCGGTTTGAGAGCGCCCCGAGGAACCTTCAGGTGGCTCCTAGGACGGCGCATGGAAACCGCAGGAGAGCCCCCCAAATGGGCTCAGGATAATTCCAAACTCCCCCGAGGCAGCCCAGGTCCGCCCCACGAGCGCCACCAGACGGCCCCACAACTCGCCCAGACGTCGCCACGACTGCTACACCGGTGCTCGGTGGCAGCATCGGGCCCAAGACTGCCCCGAGACACCCGGCGGCCCCCCAGCGGAGCCCTCCAAGATGGGCCCAAGAAGCACGCCAAGGCGACCGCCGAGAGGACCCAAAAGAGCCCCAAGAACCCCCAAGGAGTCCCAAGAGAAGCCCTCCAAACAGCCCCGTGAGCGCCCCGAGATGGCCACGAGAAAGCCCCGAGAAGACCCCAAGATGGCTGCCATGGCTGCCGGAGTCCTCGTCCTGCTGCCCATCCTCATAGTCGTCCTCTTCCTCCTCGCCCTCCTTGTCCTCCTGGTCCTCCTCCTCCTCCTCCTCCTTCTCGTCCTCGTCCACGTCCTCCTCCTTCTGCTTCTCCTCGTCCTCCTCCTCCTCCTCCTCCTCCTCCTCCTCCTCCTCCTCCTCCTCCTCCTCCTCCTCCTCCTACCCTTGGCCCTTTTTGTCCTCCATATCGTCCTCGCCGTCCTCCTCGTCCTCGTCCTCGTCCTCGTCCTCGTCGTCCTCCTCCTCCTCCTCCTCCTCCTCGTCCTCCCCCTCCTCGTCCTCGTCCTCGTCCTCGTCTCCTCCTCCTCCTGCTCCCTCCTCCCTCCTCCTCCTCTTCCTCCTCCTCCTCCTCCTCCTCCTCCTCCTCTCCCTCCTCCTCCTCGCCATGGGTCTGATCAGGCCCATCCAAAACCTATTCCAGCGCAGGTTTCTGTACTGTCCTGATCAAGGAAACTCGCTTGGGCATCTTATGAGGATTTGCTGAAGGGGATTATTTGGCACGCGGGCGCGCGAAGACGAGCCGAACGCCGTGCCATATATATATATATATATATATATATATATATATATATATATACACATATATACATACATACATACATACATATATATATCACCAAAAAAGAGCCGCTCGGAAATAAAGGGGAAAACATCGAAGCGAGCGGCGCCCGGCTCAGAGCGGAACCGGGCTCAACGCGGCCATAATGTCGCGGGAGGCATCACAAATTAGCATCGAGGTCACGTCAATCAATGCTGTACCAGGTAACGCAAGGCGTGCCCACTGAGGTGCCAATTAGGGACGCATGTACGGTGTGGGGGAGCGAACACGAAAAATGAGAAGTCAGCTACTTGGGCGGCTGGAGGGGATATTTTTTGGTCAACGGCCTCGTGGAGCGGGCCAAAAGGCGTCCAAACTCTAGCCAGGCCACGACTAGGCAAAGGAGAGCGGAAAGCGGAAAAGCAAAACAGGCGCAGCAGGGCGTCAGCTCAGAAGGGCGAAAAAACTGGTAGACCCATTTTCGGTGGCGTCGGCAGAACCGATACTCCTGGACCCTGTGACGTGGAAATCCTGGTGGCGAACAGCAAGTAAACGCAGCCAAAAAAGCGCGGCGGCGCGACCATCAACACGCAGAGGTCGAACGCTCGGTGTGAATGAGGAAGACACCGTCGAAAACGAACTGGACCGACACACGCACACACACACACACAAACGACATCCGTGAAGCAGGCTACACAAATGCCGAAACATCGTGTCGGCGCCGGAGTGAGGAAGGGCAATCTCATCACCGGAACGATTGCCAACGGCCGTAAAACCTGTAACACTTGTCGAAAGCGAAGTCCATACAGGAAAACGTCAGCCAACGAGCGTACAGTGCCACACATGCCGAACCCGAGGTCCAGGTACCGTAAGGTAGGCAATGTAGCGATAGACCCTGTGGAGCCTCCCGGGCTGGGGGCCGACACCAGCCAGGAGCAAGCCAGGGGGCACCTGACCTCAGCGACTGCGACGCAGCACCTTTCCCTGTGTGAGCCTTTGCACGAATTCCAAACCAGGGGGCGCCTGACCGCAGAGAGCGCGACGCAGCACCATTCCCTGTGTGAACCCTTGCGCGAACTCCAGAACAAGACTGCAAACGGCAGTAAAACCTGTAACGCTTGTCGAACATCAAATTTCATGCAGGAGATCGTCGGCCAACGAGCATACAGAGCCACACCTGCCGAACCAGAGGTCCAGGTGCCCTAAGGTAGGCAGTGTCGCGAGAGACCCCTTGGAACCTTCGGTGTCACTAGGAGCAAGCCAGGGGGCACCTGACCTCAGCGAATGCGAGGCAGCACCGTTCCCTGCGTGAGCCCACGCATGAATTCCACACGACCTGAACGCCATCAAGAAGCAGTAGTGGGCAGCAGACCCCAGCCGCCACGGAATAATCCTGTGAAACAGGAGGAAGAGCACCCGGGTGCAGGAAGAAAGGGCCCGGGAGTGCACGCCAGGCACGGTAGGCACCCCGGTGCGGCAGCTCACCGCTGCAGCATTAGGATGCAGGAGGGAGGGGAAGGACGTGCACGCTGGGCACAATAAGGAAGCAGGAGGAGAGGAGGGGAAGTGCACGCCAGGCACGGCAGGCACCCCGGCGCGGCAGCCAACCGCTGCAGCAAAAGGATGCAGGAAGGGAGGGAAGGACGTGCACGCCAGGCACGGTAGGCACCCCGGCGCGGCAGGCAACCGCTGCAGCATCAGGATGCAGGAGGGGAGGGAGGGAAGTGCACGCCAGGCACACGGTGTGAGAGGAGGGGGAAGAGCTCACCATAACCCTGTGTACACTGACGCGCATGCCAGGCGCTCTGATTCTCTGGCAAGGTGGCGACGGCTCGCAGTTCCAAGGTCCCGCTGTCTCTTTCCACCGTAATACCCAAGTCGTCCTCCGGGATGCTCTCGCTCTCCTCGTCCTCACACTTCTCCTCCAGGGACTCCTCCGCCGCTCCCTCGATGGTCTCCTCGACGGTCTCCTCCACGGCGGTGGGCCCCCCTTCCTCCTGCGACTCGCGACTATCTTCGCACTCTCCCCACTGGAGGCGACTGATCGTCGCGGAATTTGTTGGAATCCGGGGCGGCTGGGTGGTCCCAGGGGTCGCGTCGCCAGCGGGCTCTGCGTTGGACTGTCGGCAAGGTTTCTCCTGCGGCTCGCGACCCATTTCGCACTATTCCCAGTGACTCACCACCGCATAACCCCTTGGAATCCGAGGCCGCCGGGTGTTTCCAGGGGTCGCGCTGCCAATGGGTCGTGGTGGGCGGTCAGCAAGGTTCTCTCTGCATCCCCCCTGCCCCTCACCCTGCGACTCGCGACGATCCTCACATTCTTCCCGGTGGAAACGACTGACCGTCGCAGAAGCCATTGGAACCCGAGCCCAACGAGACCACCTCGTTCGCGCTCCTCGAGATTGGGGAGCTGGTCCTCCTACTGGACGAGGGCATCTGGGCAATCCTGGACTGCGGCGCTACTCGGGGCCTGATCGGGGTCGCGACGGCGGAGACCCCGGCCAACGGCATGAAAGAGAAGCACGACCTCAAACTCGACTTGGCGGAGCCGACGCGGCACTTCACCTTCGGCAACGGCAAGCGCAAGTGTTCGATGGGACCATGGCGGGCAACATCTTTCGCGGCGACGGGCTGTAGAAGATCGAGCTCTCTATCATGGACAGCGAGAAGCCGCTGCTGATCGGGATGGACATTCTCGGACCTGACTACGCCAGCGCCCTGATTGACTGCGGGAACGGCTACCTGATGTTACCCGAGCTGTCTAGCAATATCTTCCAGTGCCCGAAGATGCCGAGCGGACAGTTGACGATCAACGTGGCGACTCCCGCGCGGCGGCAGCACGCCCCTCGCGGCATCCCGAACATCACCGAGCTGCACAGTGAGAAGGCCCTGGTGGATGTCAGCGACCTGCCCGAGGCCAAGGTTGGGACCGAGCTGACGGGCTCGGGCGCGGCTATCACGCCCTCGAGCTAGGGGCAGCGCCCCCTGGTAGGCTTGAGAAAAACACCTTCTACTTGTCCACTGAGGGGGCCCAAGAAGATCCCTGGTGATGCCAGCGCCCGAAACAGCCACCTAGCCCCCGAAAAGGCCCCCACAGGAACCAGGACTCCAGCACGCCAGGACGAAGCTCAGAAACCTCCAGATTCTCCGAGAAGATCCCCCCCTCTAACCTCTCGGCTTTCGGGTCCCGCCACTGCGCCTTCGAAATCCCCGACGACGACTTCTACGACACCGAAACCGAAGCCACTTTCACGGACATCTTGGGAGACATCTTCGGGTACCCTGAGAGCATCTACGATGCATACGAGGACCCACCTGGAGACACCTCTACAAGGCACCCAGAGTTCGGCCCCCAACATGACGGAGCATCCTCCTGAGACTCCTCCGAAAGTTGATGCTTGCGCCGCGTGCCAAGCGCTTTCGGCTCATGAGAGAGTGCATCCAGATAAGCTCCAAAAGCTTCCATATCCGGTGGGCGACATGCCGCCATGGCACGAGCTCGCCGCCTTTGGCTGTGCCACCGCCGCCTTCGGTTTCAGCGCCACGCCCTGCCTGTCGCAAGACAGCTCCGCACAGTCAGAAACTGCCGACGTCGTTGACAGCTCGGGCGCCGGCCGACGCCCGTGCTCTTCAAAGCGAGTCCGCCTCTGTGTCCCCGACGGATGTGATTCCCTACGCTTCGGGAACGAATCCTCCGGCTAGCCTGGCACGAGCGAGGAGATGCGACTGCTGCGGCCAGCTGGGGCGCAAGCGGAACGGATGCTCATGCACGGGCGGAACGTCACACAAGTGCCTCCTGCTGGAGGAGGGGAAGCCATCCACCAACGCCCTCGCCGGTTACCAGCCTCCACGTCGGAGGAAGCAGCGGCCACAGGAAGGAGCAGCGCCAGCACATCCAGCCGACTCAGCCGACAAGGAGACAGCGACCAAAAGGGGGCGCGAGCAGCTTTGAACCACGAGGACCTCAACGTCTTGCAGCAGGCTATCGACCAGTACGACCTCGTCTACAAGAAGGAGATCGGGGACGACATCAACTTTCTAGTCCGCCAGGGGCGATGCGACCTCCTGGAGATTGCACGCCGCCTATTTCTGCTTTGGCTTAGGCGGTGATCGACCAGGGCGGTTTCGATATGGCGACCAAGAGACGCCTGGCTCTTTGGATGCGCCAACACCGGCCCCGACGCATCGTGATGAGCCCCCCCTGCGCTGCAGACTGCCTACTGCAGAACTGGAACCAGAGGACCGCGGAGGACCGAGAGAAGCTGCGCAAGAAGGTGCAGGAGGCCAGGGGGATACAGGCTGGATGCGAGACCCTCCTCTCCATCGGGCTGCAGTATCACGGGGCGGGGGTCGACCTCGAGCAGCCGCGACGTTCACAGAGCTGGTCGCGCTCTGCTTCTCTGCAGCGCATCAGGAGCAGACCTACGAGACGCTGGTGTCGGGATGCTTCTTCGGACTACGTTGCCCTCGCAGCGGCTTGCTGCTGCCCAAGGTCTGGAAGATCTGCTCCACGGATCCCGAGATACAGAGAGCGATCGGCAAAAGTTGCAGCAACCGCCCAGGCCGACATGACAACCACGGGCACGGCGAGATCATCGGCGGCAAGGTCGTGGCCTCGACGGCATTCTATCCAGCTGCTCTGTGCAAGGCCTGGGCGATGCGCATCCTTCGCGCAGGAGGCGGAGCCGCCGCTGGCCCCCTGGCACTCCCCACCTGCGACAGCGCGGAGGACGAGCAGATCTACGCGGACATCGCGGGGGGCAGCGACGTCGAGCCCCATGACCAGGCAACGCCCGACGGGCAAATCCACGCGGACATCGCGGGAGACGACGACGTCGAACCGGGCGACCAGGCCGAGTCCGACGACGACCTCGACGGGGACGACGGCCAGGAGCTGACCACAGACGGAGGCCGCCTGAGGACCAGGGAGGAGCAGGAGATCGAGCACCGCCTCAGCCCGCTACATCGCAATCTCGGACATCCAAGCGCTCGGACGACGGTGAAGATCCTGAAGAACTCAGGTGCCAGCCTCCAGGTGCTGAAGATGGCGAAGAACTTCAAGTGCCACGCCTGCAACTCCTCCGCGCTGCCGAGGGGGGGTTCGGGCCGCCGCAGGCATCGAGATCCCCGAGGACTTCGAAGTACTGGGCAGTGACGGCTTGGAAAGGACCGACCCCAAGGACGACGCGATCTACCTATTGACTCTCAACCTTGACGAGGGGTCCGGTCTCGCGCTGGTGACCAACCACGGCGACAAGTCCCAGCGTTCTGGCAACAGGTCCGCCGCCGACGTCGTCGAGACCTGGCGCTCCTAGACCGACCGACCACTGCCGTGCCCCACGGCTCAACCGATGTCACGCTGAGGGATGTCACCGCGCGGAGTTGACCAAGAGTTGGCGCGGCTCTCGCGGCATCGAGATGTTCATCCCTCCTGGCGAAGTCCACTGGCTCATGGGCAAGGTCGAGCGACGCGTCCAGCTCTTCAAGCGGACGCTCACCAAGTTCCGGAAGCAGAACTATGATTGCGACATCGACGAGACCATTAGCCCGGTCATCCACGCCATTAACGACGTCGACAAGGTGGGGGGCCATTCCTTCTACGCCCACGCCTTGGGCATCGGCGGAGCCCCGGGTTCGAACAAACCCTTCGCAATTATCGACGGCGGGGGCAGCGAGAGCAGAGAACAACGGCGCCTCGATGCCAGACAGTCCTTCATCGAGGTAGGGCGCTCGGAACGTCGTCGCCATGCCGAACACGCCCGCAGCCGCGTCACTACTCGCTGGCAAACCGGCGAGCACTGCTACTACTGGCGGAAGGGGCGCGGACCCATCAAGGCCACGTGGTGCGGCCCTGCTCGAGCCCTGGCACGAGAGCAACGGATTCTGGCGGGACCCTCGAGGCCTACGCCGGTGATTTGGACTTCACACGGCGACATTATCCTACGCTGTGCGCCCGAACAGTTCCGGCCCGCCACAGAGGCCGAGCGCGCGGTCGTCGAGCTGACCAACATGGAGAAAAAAGGCACTTCGATGTCGGACCTGACGGGGGTGGCTCGGCGCGGGACCTTCGAGGACCTCACCGACGAGAGCCGTCCAGCCATCCAGCACTGGAGCCTCAAGCGGTCACCCCTCCCGAGACGCAGGCAGACACGACCGCAAGCGAGCCGATGGAGGATGAGGCACCTGGACTGGAAACTGACGCCCCAGGATCTCAGGAACCTGCAGGCGAGCCCTCCGCCCCCCCGACGCCCTCTAGCACCTCGACCATCGAGCAGCCCGCGCCCAAGCTCCCTCGACACTCTTCGCCTGAGGAACCCATGCCAACACCTGAAGGCGGCCCCCCTGGTCGCCGATGGCGCATGTACTCCAAGGAGAACAAGGACACCCACCGTCACTCACCCGCTGAACGTCGCGCCAACCGACCAAAACCCTACTCCGACACGAAAGGCCGGGACAGTGTGGATCAGGCGAACACCGAGGACGATCTCTGCGCAGATGTGAACATGATGAGGGAGTCTGGGCTCGGGGACTTTGAGTTCCTTGACGACGACATGACGGTCTACTTCCGGATGCTGAAGTCCGCGTTCACAGACATTCAAGGGGGCCGCCGTAACACCTCCCCGATGTTAGACTGCTTCGTAGCCAACCAGGAGCGCAAGGACAAGATCAAGTTCCACTGGGGAAATTTATCACCCTCGGAGAAGCTGCCATGATGAAGGAAGCGGCTAACTGGAAGCAATACAAGGGACCAAAAACGGTGCCCGCCTCGGATGTGAAGGATCCTGCGGATGTGATCGGGTGCCGCTGGGTGCTGACACGGAAGGCCGACGGAACCGCGAAGGCCCGTGTAGTCCTCCTCGGTTACCAGACAGACAACATCGGGAGGGAGCCGACTGCTTCTCCGACGGCGTCCCGTCGTGCCAGGATAATTCTACTCACTATCGCGGCCGCGAACCACTGGAACATCGTCAAGGGCGACGTGACCAGCGCCATCCTCCAGGCCTACGGCCTCCAGAAGGACCTGCTCGTTGAGGCCGACGAGGCCCTTTCCTCCGCCCTCGGCGTTCAAACGGGTGAAGAACTTCGGGTAACGAAGCCAGGCTACGGCATCGGAGAAGCTCCAAGGAAGTGGTGGCTCACGGTCATGTCGGACTTTGCCAAGCTGGGACTGCAGGCCTGCGACCTCGAACCGTGCCTCTGGTGTCTGCGATGTCCTTCGACGAAGGAGCTCATCGGGTTGATTATGTGCCACGTGGGCGACTTCATTCTCTGCGGTGATCGAGGACATACATCCTGGAAGGCTGCCATGAAGGGCATCAAGGAGCTCTACACGTGGGGAACCTGGGAGGACATGGAGGACGGCCTCAACTCCATCGAACAGCGCGGCGTCACAATAGAGTCCAACGAGAAGGGGTTCTTCCAGCATCAGCGGGCCTACATCGACAAGCTCAGGGAGATAACACCCAAGTGCCCCAAGGCGCGCTCCAATGACAAGCTGACCGAGGCCGACCAGAGTACTCTTCGGACGCGGTGCGGTGCACTGTCATGGCTTGGATGGAATACTCTACCCTGGGTGCCCGCCTGGGCCGCGGACGTGCAGAGCAAAATTCCAGACGGCGACTACAAGCTCTTCAACGTTGCGAACAACATCACCAAAATGGTCAAGGCCAACCAGAACAACGGGATCCAAATCTTTCGTCACGCCTTACCCGGCTGCCAAAACGGACCTCCTGATTTCCTTGTGTACACCTGGTGCGACGCTGCCTGGGCGAGCCGACCAGATGGTCATTCGCAAGGCGGACACGTGACAGCTCTTAGCTCAGCCGAGACACCATTCCACGACGTGACCAACTTTACTGTTCTGGACCGGGGTTCACGCAAGCTGAAGAGGGTCGCCCGTTCAAGCCTTGCTGCCGAGATCCAGGAGGCCAGCGACGCCGAGGGCGAGCAGATGATGGTGAGGCTGGTCCTCTACGAAGTACTTTTCTGACTTTTCGACCTCCACAA